CTCTCTCTCTCTCTCTCTCTCTCTCTCTCTCTCTCTCCCTCGCTCCCTCTCTCTCTCTCCCTCTCGCCTGTCTTCATGTCGTGGATTGATGAACGCGAATCGCGTGTAAGCGCCGCCACCGCCGGGAGTCTGAGGAATTCGCCTGGGCTGTTAAAGGAAAGAGCTAAGTGAGAGAGCGCGAGCTCTACCTACCGACAGTGAAGAGAGCCGCCGCCGCCGCCGCCCGCGCCCGCTCCTCTCGCCGCCGCTGCCCGCGCCCCAGACCCGCCAGCTGGGCTGAGCCCACCGAGCCCAGCACCGGGGCGCCCCCCACCTTCCCAGCCCCCAGCCTGCCCAGTCCAGGGGAGCCACCGGCCTGGGGTTCGGTCCCGGGGGGAGGGGAATTTTGGGGGTACCGGGCGGGGGAGTCGCGAGCTAGAGGGGAGGGGGCCGCGGGTTTTCATGTGCCCAGCATGAGCTCCTACTTCGTCAACCCCCTGTTCTCCAAATACAAAGGCGGTGAGTCCCTGGAACCGGCCTATTACGACTGCCGGTTCCCCCAGAGCGTGGGCCGGAGCCATGCTCTGGTGTACGGGCCCGGCGGCTCCGCGCCCGGCTTCCAGCACGCCTCGCACCACGTCCAAGACTTCTTCCACCACGGCACCTCGGGCATCTCCAACTCGGGCTACCAGCAGAACCCGTGCTCGCTGAGCTGCCACGGAGACGCCTCCAAATTCTATGGCTACGAGGCGCTCCCCAGACAGTCCCTTTATGGGGCTCAGCAAGAGGCGAGCGTGGTGCAATATCCCGACTGTAAATCCTCCGCCAACACTAACAGTAGCGAAGGACAAGGCCACTTAAATCAAAACTCGTCTCCCAGCCTCATGTTTCCATGGATGAGACCCCACGGTGAGAAGCCTTTTCTCTTTTCCCCTTGGTCTCCCGCGCTCGGGGTCTTTCCCCCCTCCCTTGTCTCCTTTTTGTCTGCCTTTGCTTTCCCTCCTGGCTTTGGGGTCTCTCCCGCCTCCCCACTCCCCGCCCCCCATGTCTGGGTGGGTTGTTTCAGGTTGGGACGGTTCTGCTAGGGATGGAGTGCGGGGCTCCTAGGACATTTGGGGGACATGGGTGAAGGTGGGTGGGGGAAAGGTGGTGTTTGGGTACAGAGGGTTAAAAGCCATTTTCTCCATCTGTCTCTCAGCCTCTGTCTCTCCCTAGCTCCATCTCTGATCAAGTCAGGGAGGTGCTTGGGAAGGGGCCCCAGTACCCTGAGGTTATCAGCCTTTGGAGAAAATCAATTCTCCACAAGGCAGAGAGCCAGAGTCCAGGACAGTGGCCAGACTGGCTTGGGGTGAAAAGAGACCCCTGTTTACTTTCCCCAGATGAGTCAGAGAGTGGTAAAAACCCCCAGGACAGATGCTCTAGCTCTCTGGGGTACCCATGCCTCCTCTTGGAGACTAGGCTGAGGGCCACTACCCCAACTTTGCTGTACTTCCCCAGTTAGAGAGAAGACAGTAGCAGGCGGAGAAAGGCCACACAGATTAGGGGACTCTGAGGTTCAGAGGACCCTGGCAAGGCTTCCTCCAATCAAGGGCTTGTAGAGTCTCCCTGAAACCCTCAAAGGGGCTTCAGGTTATGAGCCCCTCCATGGCCCAGTTTCTAAGTAAAAGGGGTAGTGAGAAAGCGACAAGTTCCAGCAGGGATATAGCCCTTGATTTATTTGCTGGTCTCCAGTTAGCAATCAGGCCAAGCAGTGATACATTCCAGGAGATCAATTATTTTTCTTATTGGAAAAGCATTAAGCAGAGAGAGGTGAGGAAGAGGCAGTGGGCAGTGCCCTCATCTTTATCCCCAGCTTTTCTTTTTCTTTCTTTCTTTTGGTAACAGACCTTGCCCTAAGCCTGCTTTCCAAATACCATCCTGCACTTGTAAACAAAGCTGCAAGGGCTAGTTTCCTGGGACTGCAGGCCTGGGGGAACCCTGTAGGGCTCCTCTGCCCCTGCCAGCCTCTAGTGTCCAGTGAGACTGGCCTCTGCCTCTACCCTAATCCCCCCTCCCAAGGTGAAGCCAAACAAAAACAATCTCACAAACTTTCTTGCCCTTGCCTGCTTTCTGCCCTAGCCTTTCCGCAGGAGGGAGGGGACCTGGGATCTTGAAGGGAGAATTAACTTTAGGGGAGGAAAAGTGGCAGAGGAAAACCGAGCCCCCACCCAAACATAACCAGACTGGGGTTCTGTTCTGTCCAGCTCCGGGGCGGCGCAGCGGACGGCAAACTTACAGCCGGTATCAGACCTTGGAACTAGAAAAGGAGTTTCTCTTTAATCCTTATTTGACACGAAAGCGCCGGATTGAAGTCTCTCATGCCCTGGGACTGACCGAAAGACAAGTGAAGATCTGGTTCCAGAACCGAAGGATGAAGTGGAAAAAGGAGAATAACAAGGATAAACTTCCTGGAGCCCGAGATGAGGAGAAAGCAGAGGAAGAAGGAAATGAGGAAGAGGAGAAAGAAGAGGAGGAAAAGGAAGAAAACAAGGACTAAAGAAAAAAAAAGAGAAAGAGAGAGATTTTTCTCCCTTTTAGCAACTCCCTTGAAGTTTCGTTTTATGGTAGCGGATAAATTGAGAAGTTTACGACTGTCATTTGCTTTTATAGAGAATAGAATGACACTCACAACTCTAACTACCTGTCAGATACTTGCAGCTCTGGTTTTATTACCTTTGGACTTCCCCCGCTCTTTATTTTTCTGGGGCCTGGAAAGGGGGAGACGGAGACACAGCAAAAAGGAAAAGTTCAGACTGTCTCAGTCTTTGCCCCCAACACACACACTACCCCCACCCTTGCAAGTCCTTGCTAAATTTTAAGGTCTGAGACCTGGCCTCCTGGGCCCCCTCTCTCATTCTCTTCTTGCCATACTCCCACCTCCCTCTTTCTCTATTTATTTTAGAGGGGAGTCCCCTACAAATGTGGAAGAGCCCTAGTGAATTTGTTTTTATGCTTGGATTAGGCTATTAAGTTTACTTTTCAAAAAAGTATGGGGAAGGGAGGAGAAGAAAGGAAATATTTTTAAAAAAATAAGGAAATTACAGTAAGGAATATCTTCCCCCTACACTCACTCTCTCTCACGCACAAACACACACACACACAGATACACAGGGCTCCCCACTCAAAAAGACGACCCCTTTGACTTTCTTTAGGAACCCTGAAGGAGAAGTAGTTTCCTCCTCTCTCCACTTTGTAAGGGGGTAAACAGGAGCCTGCAGTAGCCTCTCAAATCCTACCTAGCCATGCCATAGCCACTCGGGCCCAAGCCTTCCTCTTACGCTGTTGGATTTTTTGTTCTGTTGGGCTCAGCTTCCTCTGAGCTGCATTAGTATTAGTGCTCAGAAATCATAATAATCATGAAAATAATAATGATGATAATACTGATACTAATATTAAATCCTTAACATACTACCTAAAGGGAACCTGCAATAATCTTGAGGGTGGGGAATAAAGAAAAAAGGTAATTTTTAAAAAATCCTAATATAGAAGGGGAAAAAAAAGTGGAAAAAAATAAAAATATTTAAAAAAAGACCGAAACCTCCAATGTATTTTATCAGTACCTATAGGAAGAGATCCTGCTTTGAGAGTATTCGTAATGCAATTTTGTTGTCGTTTGTTGCTGCTTATTTCACTAAGAAAAACCCAACAACTGAGACTGCCTAGCCCGCCGGTCCTGTGCGCTTTTATTGTGCTTCTAACCCCAGTAGAGTAGAACTAAATTGCACTGAATGTATAGTTAACTCTGTCTTGAATTCTCTGTTTATGCAATGTGCTCGAAAGGAGAAAAAAAATCCCAGTTAAAATATATCTATAATAATAATTTTTGGTCATTTGTCTTTATGTCCAGCTATGAATGTAGATTTTGTGTCCCAACAGCCCTGTTCCTGGTCCAAGTACTTTGTATTGTATACGTGAATCATAATAAAAAAAAAAGGAAAAAATGAAACTGAATGACTTGCCTTCTCTCCAATACCCACCCAGTCTGTACACCCACCCTCATTCCTTATCACTGGAAAAGACCTCTACAGGGCTGACTTTGGGGTGGGGTGGGGACTCTCCTGGAGAAGGGCCTGGGAGTTTAGATGGCAGCCCAAGCTGGAGGGCAGGTGAGAGGGAGGGAGGGGTTGGAGAAGGAGAAAAATTCAGTTCAGTGCAGGGGAGAAGAGTGTATCTGTGTGTTCTTGGGCAAATCTTGGCTCCAAATAAAGTGGTTTTCTCAGTGGCAGGACCCCAATGAGAAGAATGCTCCTCTGCACATATTTATCCTCAACACTAACTAGACTGGGCCCAAACAAAGATTCTGTCTTATACCCCTCCTGAAAGCTAGAATTTTTTTCTTCTAGGAAATGAGACTGAAGATGTGGGGACCTTTTTGGATCCTTAAAGCCCTTTTGTGGTCAGTCTCTTGGTACCCAGCACATAGTACTAGAGGGGTGAACAGCTTGGAGGAAGTGTCAGGCTCTGAGGAGCAGACCTATCTAGAGGGTGTAGGGGAGGATTCCTAAATAAGGGTGATCTTAAGGGTGAAGATAAGGAGGTTAATGACTGAGGAGGAGCAACAAGGGGAAAGGGAATGAGCTGGTGAGCCAGCAAGCCTGAGTCCACATCCTGACACTTGGCCAGCACAGAGCCTTCCCTGACATCCAGTCAGAACGTGCATCCAGCCCCCTATTCCTGTGGTTTCAAGCCAGGTTCCAGCTCACCTTGGCAACTGGGTAGCCTGCCCTGTCCCAATAGTTTGGACTGTTGGCTTGGGGCAGGGTGGGCCTATTGAGTGGACAATCCTTGGCCACAACAAAGTGGGGTGAGTCTCCACTGGACTCCATTGGGTTGAATGCTCAAGAACCCAGGGAGCAAAGGGGTCTGTCGCTTCTCTCTGAAGAGTCCTAGACATAGAAATCTATTTATGCCAATAAAATTCTGGTCTAATAATCTCATTCATATTCCAAAGATCAGAGTTATCTGACTCAATGAGAAGAGAAAGTAAGGGGAGAAGAAGAGATTTGGTCTTAAAAACTAGATTCCCAAGGACTTAAATATTTTCAAAAGCAGTTTTGTTTTGAATTTTTCCTTTCTTTCTCTTTCCTCTCCGCTTTCTAATCAATGATTTCCGCAGGTTTAGGCCCAGGCAGATTATTGTGTAATTTCACCCGAGATGGTCGGTCCCTAGGTCCCATGAAAAGTGATCCTTAATACAGTTGGGTCAGGCGCCCTTGATAAGGGACTGCTGTCATCCGCAGGAGGCTGCGGATTGGAAGCACAGGCTGCGGGCAGCCAAGGACAGCTTTGAGCTGAAGCTCAGCTCGTAGGAAATCTTTCCGAACTTGGGTCCTTGTCGTGAGCGTGGCTCCAGACAGGTAACCCTTGGGTGCTGCTGGAGACATCAGCTACCGAGAAGCTCTGGGAGAATGCCTCTCACTCTGGGTTCCAGGCCTTCCAACGGGTGTTGCCTCCAAGCTCCTAAGGTTGTTTCTTTTTTAAATGTAATTTTGATTGCTATTAATAAAAATCTCTGTCCCAGTAGCTTAGCAGAGCCAAGCCTGCATTAAGTGGCTCCGAAGGACCTCATTGCTTTCCCCCACCCCACCCCGACCGTCCCATTCAAGCTTGGCTCAGATCAGCAGTGCCCGTGGCCCCAAGCCCATCGCGTCGCAGGGCGGGGAGCGTTTGGCGCCCCGCATCGCTGGAGATGCGGGCATGTGTGTAGGACAGGCCAAGTGAACCCCAGCCACCCCCTCTTGAAGCACTCATTCCTTCGCCCCTCCTGCCCATTGCCCCTGTTTTCTCGTTTGGAGAGAAAAGGAGTGGAAAATCCTCATTTTATGAGCAAATGTAATTGCGAGAGCGGGATGCGCTCTCTGGAAACGCGTCGTCCCAAATGCTCCCGCCGTCCCATTACCGGAATGAGGACCATTCGGCTGCAGCAGATAGGACTTTCTCCCATTCTTTGCTTTTTTTTATTAGCCAATCAAAGTGGCTTCCGAAAGCTATTTGTAATTTGTGAAAAATAGTATCTTTCAAAATGCTGAGTTGAAGCGTCTCGCTCATTTCGCCTAGAATTTATTATTCTAATCTCAACCGTAGAGATGGAATAATGTAGCTATTAAATTGGAGGGTAAATTCGTTTCACTGTGGATTTGTTTGGGTGTTTTTTAATAATCCTAACCATTTTCTCTCTCCTGCTCCCTCTTCGCGGAGACCACGGGAAGCGCCGGCCTGCGGAGTCTGGGGATTAGGGAGGTGGCACGCATATTGAAGGGTTCTTTGGGGGCTCTCTTGGATGGGAAGGTGGGTTAGCATCCTCATCCTCATCCTCATCAAATGATGTGCCTTTGGCCTGGGGAAAGTTACCTCGGCTCCAATTAGAGCCATGCCAATTAGACTGTGCCACAGACTAGAAGTAAAATTTCCGGTGAGCAGCCCGCAGCGCTGCCCCATTCTCCCTACTGCCCATTGTGAAAAGCGAAGCCAGTGCTTCCTCGTCGTAATTTTTAACTACCTGTTATAAAATTTATGGGTGGGTTTGTAAAAGGAACGAGGTCCCTGCATCCGGCTGAGGGAACAGCTTCCATAACTGTGGAGGAAGTTTGGAAAAAGAGTGAGGGTTTCCTTATTGGTTGGGGTGGGGGCCATCTAGCCATGAAAATCCTGTGCGCAGGAGATGGAGGACTAGGGGGGAAAGCCGCTGGTCTTCAGATCTCCAGCCAGTGGGCAAAGTGGCCAGGCTGCAAACAGACTCTGAAAGAAATTCCCCCAAGCTTTTATTTTGCCAAAACCAGTGTCTGAAGGAATAGGGTGCTCAGAACTTTAAGCTCAGAAGGTGCAATTCAAAAGAGTCTTTTTTTGGGGCCTGAGAGAGACAGATTCCATCCACCCATACACTGAAGCAGGATTGTTTTTTTTTTCTCTCCCCCCCAAAAAAAGGCAAGTGAGTGTGGGCAACCTGGCAAAACCAAAAAGGTTTCAAACTACCTGAAACCCCCAAAGGAAAAGGAGATAGGTCTCAATGTCTTGAGTTTTAACCTGTATTTTTAATTCTAAAATGATCAGATGTAATCTGCCATTTGGATTTAGGAGATGAAGAGCCCTCTGGGAGGTCAGTCATGGGGAAATGTCTATCTATGCTTTCTGAGAAAGACATCTGAGGATGGGGTGCTTTGGGGTCCTGGAGACTACCTCCAACGATCACCCTTCCCTTCCCTCTGCATGACTACCCACGGCTGCTCCAGCTTCCATTGCTCTTTAGACCATGGCCAGGTCAGGCGTGGTTGGAAGGATGCAAGCAGTCTGAGTCTCCTTTTGGGGTGAGAGGGCTGCATAAGTGTGTTCATAAGTGTGTTGCTCTCTTCCTAGAAAAAAAGGGGGGTAAAGGACATCCCTTCCCAATCCCTTCACCTTCAACCTTCTGCCCCAATACTACAAACCTTTGCTAAGCCTAAGCTGCCCGAGATCCAGCTAAATCCTCCCATTTATTAAGGAAAATGTTTAAAACTCCCCAGGACGAGGGACGACAGACGGCCCCCCCAGAGCCAGAATTTTTCCTTTCCACCTCCCGACACCCTCCCTCACCCTTCCGCCCTCGCCGGGCGCCACGCCGCCCAGGGAGAGTGGGCGGTAGGTGGGGGCGGGGTGAGGTGCGGTGGGGGTGGGGTGGGGGCCGAGGGGATGCTCCCTCTCCCAGAGAATTGGGTAAACATGGCGACCGCGGCGCCCATTTGCACACGCTACACAAATGCATCGCATTCCCGGTTGTTTGCAGAAAATTTACAGCTGAGTAATAAAAGTTTACGATCGACTCACAAGTTGGATTGGCCACAAGAAGTCATGTGGATTCCATCCATGAACGTGAACTTTTTATTGTGGTTTGTCCGTTCGGAGCGCTCCGCAGAACAGTCCTCCCTGTAAGAGCCTTACCATTGCCAGGGAAACCTGCTCTGGGTGCTCCTTTCGTTACTAGTATTTTTTTTAATTAATCTGATTAATAATTATTTTCTCCCCTCATTTGATTTTTTCCCCCTCCCAGGTGGAGTTGCCGGAAGCTGGGCACATCTAGGTAGGGTGGGGTGGGGGTGGGGGTGAGGCAGGCGTGGAGGGCAGGTCTCTCTCCCTTGCCGACCCTCTAGCCCCCCAAGGGGCAGGAGGAATGCGGGAACTGGAGTTGAGATAGGGAGCTGCAATGCTTCTGCCCCTCCCCTCTCCCAGGCCCTCATGCCTGCCCCCTTCCTGCAACTCTATTTTATTTTGGCTTTTTGATGATTAGGACTATTTTTTTTTTATTTTAAAATTGATAGAAAGTTTTTAAGTGTGTATGGAGCTGAAACAGGCTCAGCCGCGGCACAGAATGAGGGAAGACGAGAGAGAGTGGGAGAGAAAGGCAGAGAGAGGGAGAGGGAGAGGGAGAATGACAGCAGCGCCGGGTAAGTGTTTCCTTATTGGTTCAAATATGTAACTAATGGTCCGTGGCTGGGTGGCGGTTTCAAGATAAGGACTGCAGCGGCTTGTCTTGGTTAGAGAGGATAGGGAGCCGGTGAGAGGGTGGGCGCGTGGGCAATTGGGGGGGGGGAGGGAGGAGGGAAAAGAAATAGGATTGAATTGGAATACGGGCAGGGGGCGGGAGTGTGTTATTCTGATGTCACTGTGCGCCGAAGTTGAGAGTCCAGAGGCCGGAGGACCGAGACTAGCGGCTCAGGGCCTGAGTCTTGAGCACTGGCTCTCGGTCTGATGCCCATAGTGTCCTGAGTTACCTGTTTATCATAGATCTGGGGCTTCTTAGCTAATGGGATTGGGTTGAGAGGGCTCAGGAACTTGAACTCTAGGGCTGGAAAGAGAAGCCTGTAGTCTGTGTCCCTCTCCCCTTGAGCAAAGTTAGCCCCCCAACCCGCAAACAAACTTTCCAGCGCCCCCGCCCTGCGCTGCAGACCCCTCCCTCTCGGAGAGCGCGACTGGGAGAGCTCACACATGCGCAGTGTGGGCTCAGGGCCGGGCCGCCGAGCAGGAAGCGACCGGAGCTAGACGGGCGGCGGGGCCTGTTAATTGGCAATTAGGGGGGAAGGCTGGTGGCTGGTGCGCGTCAGCAGAGAGGAGAGCGCGTCTGCCCACTCCCTGCGCCCGCCCCCACCCGGACGGATGAAAAGGAGGGAGGTGCCGCACTGCGGATTGAGGGGTGGGTGTGGGAGATGCAGTACTCAAAAAGCCATCTTGTGCTTGGGGAAAAGAGGCCTTATTCGCTTCCCTCCCACGGCCTGGCGCCCCCCACCGCCAGCATTGGCCACAACCACCCGGGATGACCACTGGTCGGCTTCACCCGCCTGGCCCGACTGCGCTAGACCTACCCTGTCTGGGGCCGAGGTGCGAGTGGGGAGGCCCGAGCCGGGGCGAGACAGGCCCAGGCCTTGCCCAAGGAGCCTCCTGGGTGTGTGGAGCCCGTGAGAACTCAAGGGGCGCCTGGCTCGTGGGGTAGGGACTTAAGAATTGGCGGCTTGGAAGGTCCAGGGCGTTCAGGATCTTCCTAATAATTGGTGCTAATAGAGTGTTGTATAGTCTTAACTGGACACATATGGTTTCATAACGCAGTGTCTTAATTTCTTCCAAATGTACGTGGCCCTGAATGTGTTGCTGTTTGATATATGACCCCCGCCCTGCTCCCCAGCCTGGGACCGAGGCGGCCCCTATATTTGCGAGCTTCTGTTTATTAAGGGCGACGCACACACAAGCGCTCACACACCCAGACAGGCACACCATAGAGCTTGGGCGGGGAGGGAGGCGTGCGTGATGCATAATCCTGGGAAAGTCTGAGTGACCAGGGTTTGGATTCACGTCAACCAGATCCAGGTTCACACCCCCAACCCCCATACTCTCTCCTTAGAGGCGCGACTGGGCTAGTGGGTCAAGCCTCAATGGGGGAGGGGATCACCTCGGTTTCCGGTTTAAACCCTCATCCGTTGACTGGAGGTGGGGGAGTTGTGAAAATACCGTTTTAATCAAATTCTTAAAAATACATTTTGGCATCATTCAAATCAAACCCTTTGGGCCTAAACTGAAGGTGAATCTTCTTTCCCCTCCCCCTACAACTGTCTTCCCCTCCCTTTTACCCCCCCACCCCCCAAATATCCCTTTTGCAGTCGACATAAAGACCTCTGAGGTATTCTCCCCAGGGAAAAAAAATGGCATTTCTCCCCCTTCCCACCCCCACCCCCAGTAGGACTTGTGTGTCGACAGAGACGTCTGCCGAGGGGCTAATTTCGCGTTCCTTGTTTACGATCTAGAAAAGCGCTTGGCTTTCCCCAAATGGGCCCAGCTCGCCGTCTGCTCCGGCTGCCACGAGCTCTCCTGCCGCTCCGGCGCGGCCCATGGGCTGATGCCTGGGGGAGACGGGGCCGGGACCCCAGGTCTGTAGGAGGGCAAGGGAAATACGATGGGACAGTCGAAGGGCCTCGGGAGGCCCGAAAATGGGAGCTTTTCTCCTGGCGTAATGTGGGAACCGCCAACCGGTGAGGCCTTTATTTCTGTCCTTTCTTGTATTTTGTCTGACCCCCACCCCCGCGGAAGGCTGCGCTGTCGGGGGCGGAGGCTGGTGAAGGGAGAGGTGGAATGGGCACAAGGCTTTGTTCGCCCCATGGGTAGCAGTTTGCGGAGAGAGCCACTCAGGCCAGTGGGGATTCACCTGGAATATTAGAGAGGTCCCCTCCCTTTGGAGGGGCGGGTCTGGGAGAGGCTGAGGTATTTCTCTCTCGTGGTGTACATGGATCCAACTGACTGTGATAATAGCGAGATTTCGGGGTGCTGGTGTTCGGTTCGAGGTTAACAATATTATTCCGAGGCGTCACTTATTTTTTTTATCGATTGATTTTTCTGCCCTTTCCCGACTAAGGTCCTGCAGCCCCCATGTTACCCGGCACTCTCACCCCTCAGACCCATCTTGAGGGAAAAGGGGAATGGAGGAGGCACTGGACTAGGCACAGCAGCAGTAATGGGTCCTGGTTTTACAGATTTCCAGTCCAAGGAGGAGATACACTGGGCTCAAACACCAGCTCCCCCTTACTTTCACTTTCCCTTCCTTCTCTGGAGCTCAAGTAGAAGCAAAGAGGGACCACCAGTAGCAAACCCCAGCCTCCTTTCAGGCTACAATCCCTGTAGACATAATCCTTACTGCCGGATAAGCTGCTCTGATTATCTAATAATAATAGTCAGGGCATCTGAGAATAGAATCTGTCTCGAAGATTGCATATTCAGGTCTGGAGCTGGTCAGAGACACCTAGTTTGCAGTTCAGGGCCTGCCAACACTCTGAGTTCCTGTTACTCCAATATAACCCTCTGAGTCCTGGTCTCTTAGGACAGGTCACCTGGGGCCTGCCCCTTACGGGCTTTGTCAGCTCTGCCATTAGCTATATTTCATGTGTGGGTTCCTAACTAAAAAAATAAATGGGCTGAACAAACCCTTTCTCTGGTCTGACAGTTGTGATCCCCACGGAGAATGCAACCTTGTTTGAAGAATCTAAAGTTGTTGGGTTGGCTGTTAAGTTCAGAAACTAGGCTCTGTAGTTTTGGATATTTATTATATGTAGGCTCAAATGTATAGAGTTGGACTTATGCCGGAATATATACATACTCATATTTCTTTCTGTGGTTAAGTGTATATTACCATGCCTATATTTGCTCAAACACCATTTTATGTGCATGTGAAATTTTGTTAGCTCTTGGTAAGATAAGAGTGGGTTCCTGGAGGCTTGGATCTACCAAGGAGGCCCATCTGTGCATGCTTTCCTGGAAATATGTGTGTATTGGGATCGGAGGATGCAAGTCCCAATATCCAAGGGATGCCACAAAGGCTTATTACTTTCATTATCCTAGCACCTGGAGTGAGTAAAAGTGCCTTCTTTCCACATTTCCTTGCAAACTTCTCCAACTCAGATAAAATTTTTGCCAGGGAAACCCACCAATGTTGAATGTCAGTTCTGTAGCAAACTCACTCTTGGCACCGTGGTGGACAAACGAGTGGTTCTGGACATTAAGTCTGAGTCCTAGTGCTGGAAGCCTCACTGAGGCATTGAAGGAATTTGGAGAAAATTGGAGTGGTTCATAAAATGGCCTCTGGGCAGTGGTTTGGGGACAGTGCAGACCAGGGAGCCTTGAAAAAGCGGGTGATGAAAAGGAACCAGGAATGGAAGGCGTGCATGCGTCCGTGCCCTTGTGCGCCGTTTCACTGGGCTGAAGGTTTGCCTGTACGGGCGGGGAAGATTCGAGATTCGCTAAAGTTCCCTAAATGTCCAGAACTATTCACTGACAGGACTGATTTTTAATCCCCTCTATTACCTGAGGCCGAGTGAGGCAAGGCCAAGGAAAAGTCTGGTCACAACCGAACCAGAGAGCAAGTTAGGCCCGGGCGGCTATGGGCCTAGAGCGATGTCTAAGGCGGTGAATGGGAATAAACCAGCTTCTTTTTTCCAACCTTTCTTCCTTCGAGGGACACCAAAAGACAAAGCAGAGGGAAATATAAATGTCAATGGAAAACTCCATAAAAGAAAGTAAAGACAGGAGCAGGGCTGGAGGGGTTTTCCGCCACTCCCTCGGAGATCGGGTTCCTCCCAGACTGCATGTTCAGGCAAGCCGCCGACAGGCGCCCCGGCGCACAGCTCTCTCTCCTTCCCTCTGCCCTCATCGAGAGCAGCTTCTGCTTTTGGTCCTTCGATACATGCGTTCCTGGGGTGAGATCACCCCAGGACCGTACCCTTTCCCTCTCGGCCTTCGTCTTCCGCCACGGCTCCCAAGCCAGTTCTGTTTATTGTGTCTGTGAGTTGTTTACTTGTTTTGTCTGCTGCCACCCTGCGTCAGAAACCCGCCAAACCAGCAAACTCGCCTAGGAGAACAAAGTACAGCAAGATTGCGAATTCCCTCCCCTTTCTGTGCACCCCCTATCCACCTTTGTCTCTTTCTGTATTTTCCCCTTCAGAAGGGAGGAAGCAGAAATTGTCTCAAAATAGGGCAGCTGTTTACAGGGTCAGGGGAATTATAGGGACATCATAAACCTCCGGGTGCCCCAGTGGTGGAAAGACTTGGAACAGCCCTCCCCTTGCCTAGGCTTTTCTTTCCTCCACAGTCATTGAGAAAGTTGAGCCCCCTCCTCATCCGACTTCCCTATTCCTTTCTGCAGGAATTTTCCTGATTCTCAAGTTGTTGGGTTTTAAATCAGGGTAATGTTGGCAGATTCATAAAGCTAGATAAAGCCTGTCTCTTCCCCCACTCTTCTCTCTCTTCAGCCCCCCAAAATAGCAGTGAATTTAAGCAAATCCTACAAAATTAAATTGCCCCTTCGTTAAAGATCCTATAAATCTCCAATCCCACCAGGTGTGGAGTCAGAGAGGCCACTATTCGCCTTTAATTTTGCTTCTGGCTATCACGCCTATAAGAGTATCATCGA